CTCCTAACCCCGAACGGTGAAGATTGACAGCTTTTCGTTTGTGCAGTTTTTCCTTTTCCTTCTTCCTCATTCCTCTTCTAGGTCTGAGAGGCTCTTTATCAAGTTTTCCTTCCTCAGTTACGCACCTATCGATTTACTCCCTCATTCCTCGGCAAAGGTCAACTGAGCTCTTGTCATAGTTTCCAACAGTTGCACCCACGCGAGAGTGCCAGGAACTGACCTCTAGGGCTCACTGCCTGGTCTCGTCCCTTGCATGTCCCAGGGCTTCTCTGTTCCCTGGGGGGGTGTAGGGCCCAGTGTGTGCAGTCCCGTGGGAGTGGCTGGATGGGGGGGCTGGGAGAAGCGATATGTTCAGTACAATAAGTGCCTGACAGAGCACCTCCCCCCTGGAGACCACCTGTCTTGCTGCCCCAGGACAAGGGTCTGAGGTTTCAGGGTCAACTGGGCTCTTACCCTGTCAGCCGTGACCTTAGTGAACTCACCACCTCATTGAGGCATGGTTTCCCACTGGCAAAATGGAAGGCAGTAATGGTGCCCCCAAGACTTGGGAGCATGGTATGGGAGTGGATGAGATGCACCTGACCGTGCCCAGCATTGTGTGAGGGACGAGTGTGTTTCTCAAAGTGTTTTCTTCCCTTGCTCCCAAAGATGAATCACGTGCAGCTCCTGCCCATCATGGGGGCCCCTGTTTTGGAGGTGGGTGCAGCTACCCAGGAGCTCCGAGAAAGTCACCTGACTATCACAGAGACATAAACCGAGTCTTGCTGGGTGAGGAAGGTCAGATTCGTTATAAGCATATAAAACTCTGTCATAGTCTTTCTTAAAATAGAAGAGAGGACTGAAGAGTCAACCTGGAATCAGTCTCCTCTGTCCACTGCTAGGGATGGGCACTGACTCTCAGACTCACTGCTGAGCGAGGTGCTGCTTTGGCTGGTGGGTTTAAACTCCGGCGCCCAGAAGGAAACATGGACGGAACAGACTGGGTTCACACAGACAAGGGGGCAGAAACAGGCCACAGCGCCAGGGCATTTTGGGCTTCCTATCCATTTGGACATTTTCTTTCCTTTTTCTTCTCTCAATGAGACAACAGAGCTCCTGAGACACCCAGTGACTCCTCCCAGGTCCCCCAATCTACCCTTGGTGGAGCCCAGATGACACCCATGTTCCCTCACTCCCTGACTGGAAATCTTTCTGCTCTTTATCTGTAGCCTGAGGAGACAGTAGACAAATAACAGAAGGAGAGGAAGACAGGAAGGAATGGGGGGGAAAAAAAAAAGGAAGGAAGGAAGGAAGGATCATTATTGTGAATGCAATAAATTGTAAATTCTTCTGATGCCTGCAAAGTCCCAATATTTCCTTGAATTTCTCAGCTAATCAAGGCTGCATGGGTATTGTTATTCAGAAGGACAGAAATTCTTCTAAAACTGCTTTTCCCCTTCATTTCATCCCACCACCAGAGAGCATCTGACAGAAAGTGGTTTGGATGCTGGGCCGCACAATTAGCTCCTAATTTTGTCAGGCTTCTTCCTGCGAGCCCCACTGTCTCATAATCATGGCTCTCCACTGTGACCAGCAGGCTGGGACAAAGGCTTTCTGATTCAATAGGAACTGTGATTGAGGTGGGATCGATACAGAGACCTCATGATTCCCTCAATCAGACCCCCAGCCAATTTTTCAGCTAGAAGTACAAGCTTGCGCACATATCACTAGGGTTTTATTATTAGTCACATGCGCTTGGGGTTACTCCCAGTGCCACGACATGACGGCACTTGGCAAAACAAATGTGATACTTAACGGGGGCAGGAGACTTAGCCTGGGCGGCCAGGCTGCTACATTCCACTGGCACATGTGACCTGCCTCTTGAGGTGAGGTGAGGTGACAGGAAGAAGAGACAGTAGGGACTCAAAGGCAGAAAGGCTCAAATCATTTGGGACACAGAGACCCTCTACCCAGCCTTGGGATTTTTTTATTTTTTGTGGTTTTTCTTTTTTGGATTTGTTTTTTGTTTGTTTTGTGTATTTTGTGCGTGTGTGGATAAGCTTCTCCCTTCTTCCTGTGACCTCTTTGTCCTTTCTAGAACCACAGGTCCATCTCCTTTGTCCAGGATAAGAGGTGGGGGAGGGGCACCCGGGTGGTTCTATTGATTGAGCATCGCAGTCTTGATCTCAGCTCAGGTCTTGATCTCAGGGTCCTGAGTTCAAGCCCTGGTTGGGCTCCAGGCTCTACCTGCAGCCCACTTAAAAAAAAAAAAGAAAGAAAGAAAGAAAGAAAGAAAAGAAAAAAGAAAAAGTAAGTAAGTAAGTAAGTAAGTAAGTAAATAAATAAATAAATAAATAAAAGAGGTGGGGGAGAACAGGAATTTGTCTTAAAGTCCTCCTGCCCTCCCCAGGCCCCCAGCCCAGAGACTGATTGTGGGGAAGAGGTGGTGTTTTGCTCCAGCATTTTCAGTGATTCTCGGATGACATTGCCCCGGGAATGCACATGCCTATAAAAATTCCATTTTGGGAATTAATGTGAACAGGTACCTTTTTTCCTTTATCCAAGAAAAGTAGCACATCCACTGACCAAGATCAAAGGGTGAATCCCAGTCGGCACAACACGGGGCTCTGCTTAACAGTTTAGCATCCTTACAAAATTAATCCGAAATGTTTCTATTTGTGGCAGAAGAGAGAGCGGGCAGGAAAAGGGAGACTGAGGGACTGGGAGGGACATTGGCAGAGATTCTGAAAGTACGCTGTCCGGATTTTTATGAGTTTCTTTCTCTATACCTCTGGGTTTCTGACCGGAAAGGGGAAACTAACTCCCAACAGTCGGCTAAGCCAACGCGGCCTTGGAATTCCAAACTGAACACAGTTTGGTTCAGGTTTTTCAACGGCGGCAAAACCCAGCCGTCCACGGGGTTCCTAGGAAAGCCAGAGGGGACCAATTAGGAAGGAAGAAATTAAAGACAAGAGTAAAAGAAAGAGGAGGCGCGGATGAAAGGTCCAATGGAGAGTGAGTGACAAGGCAGGAGCCCGGCAGCCGGGGCGGGCAGGCGGCCGCGCGGGGGGACTGACAGGTGGGTGTCGCGGCCGGGCAGGGCGGCGAGAGGGCTCGAGGTCCCCAACTCCGCGCAGCGCCGGCCGCCGCAGCGACGCCTCGCGAGAGAGCGGGGGCCGCAGAGGAGGGAGCGGGGCGCGCGCGGGGCGGGAGGAGGCGGGAGGCGGGCGCGCGGGCTCCCACGCCGGCCTCGGTGCCACCCGCCCGCCGCGACCCGGGCGTCTCCTCTCCCTCCCCGACGCGCCGCGGCGGCCCGGCATCCGGTTTGCTTGGCGCGGAGATCTCCCCGAACCCGCGGGGTGGAGAAAGCGAGGCCAAGCCGGGCGGCCCCCCGGGTGCGCTCCGCGGCGGAGACGCGGGGACGAGACCCGGGGCGGAGCGGCGGAGGGCGGCGCGGGCACTGACGCGAGTTGGGCAGCGCGCTGAGCCAGCCCGCGGAGACGCCCTAGCCGGGTGCACGCGCCGGGCGGAGCGCGCAGGTGGGGCTGCGCTGGCCGCGGTGCGCCCCGCGCCGGTCCCCCGCCGGCCGGAGGATGGGCGCCGGCGTCCCGGGACCGCGCCCGCCGCTGCTGCCCCCGAGCCCGCCGCGAGCCCGGCGTCCGGCCCGCGCCCCGCGCTCATGTATGTAGGCTGGGCGCCCGCCCCCAGGGCTGAGGGTGCATGTGGGGTGTCCGCACCCAGCGCGCTGGGACGCGCCCGGGGCACCGTTCCACCTTCTCATTGCTCGGGAGAACCTTTCTCCGACCCCGACCCCGACCCTGAGTTTGTTAATATGGGTGGGTTGCTCGCCCCGGGCTGAGGTCCATCGGGCCGGGGCTGGAAGTGAGCACAGGGCACGGTAGTCCCAGCTCTACGGGGGAGGGGGGTGGGTTGCCCGCACCCTGCGGCGTCTAGGGTTCTCTTGGCCCCTTTGGGCGGCAGAAACTTTGGGATCCAGAGAGGCTTTTGGAGATGGGGAGAGTGAGAGGGACTCGCCCCCGCCCTGCATCCCCAGCCTCCCCCACCGCACACCTCGGTGCTGCCTGGGCACTTCTGCTCCACCCTTACGACCCCCTCCTGGGGGAAAGCGATTACGAGCCCAGCGTTGCGGCCCGCGCGGGGCTGTCTCATCAACGTTCGCGGTCGCTGAGCGGCTGGCTGGGCACGGGGGTGGGGGGGGGGGGGGACGGGACGGTGGAGGAGCCGAAGCCTCCGGAACCCCCGACCCTGCCGCCGGGGCTGGCCGGGGACATCCTTCCGTGCCTCGGGGCCTGGGGAGGAGGGCGGGGAAGCGACGTCTGCTCCCTGCGCTCGAGGCATTTAAAAAAAGTTGTTGGAGATGAATCACGGGGTCCTGGGAGCTTCGTTAACCCCCTCCCGCCCCTTTCCCCAAACGCCCTAAGGCAAGCCGGGGAGGGTTTCCCACCAGTCTTCCTGCACGGTCTTCCGTGTCCAACTCCACTGCGGAATTCTCCATTTAGTAACCTTGGGGAAAGTGTGGCTAGCACCCAGGGGGGCACATCCCGGGCTCCCGGATTATGTGGCTCTACCCGAGTTTAGCACGGGGGCGCGGGCCCGGCTCGCTGCGTTCCCGCAGCTCCGGCTCCGCCACCCGCCCAGGGCCGTCCCCACCGCTAAATCGCGGCCACCGGAGAAACGCGGCCGGCCGGTGTTTCTCCCGGACTTCGCTTCCACGTCCGTCTCCACCATCTGTGAGGTCTCAGAAGCCGGCTGGGCACCGGCGCTGGGCATGCTGCCCCCGCCCGCGTCGTGCGGCTCGTTAATCTAGAGCGCTGCCGGGGCCGGGCGGCGCGGGGCCGGGTGGGGGCCGGGCGCGCGCGGGCCGCGGGGCTCAGCTGTGCTGCTGTTCTCTCCGCAGGGACGGCGGCTCCCGGCTGGCGGCGGCGCGCCCCCGGGCTGTGAATGCGACTCGCCCCTCGGCCGCGCTCCCCGCCCGCCCGCCCGCCGGGACGTGGTAGGGGATGCCCAGCTCCACTGCGATGGCAGTTGGCGCGCTGTCCAGTTCCCTCCTGGTCACCTGCTGCCTGATGGTGGCTCTGTGCAGTCCGAGCATCCCGCTGGAGAAGCTGGCCCAGGCGCCGGAGCAGCGGGGCCAGGAGAAGCGCGAGCACGCGTCTCGGGACGGCCCGGGGCGGGTGAGCGAGCTCGGGCGCCCCGCGAGGGACGAGGGCGGCAGCGGCCGGGACTGGAAGAGCAAGGGCGGCCGGGGGCTCGCCGGCCGGGAGGCGTGGAGCAAGCAGAAACAGGCCTGGGCCGCCCAGGGCGGGGGCGCCAAGGCCGGGGACCTGCAGGGCCGGCCCCGCGGGGACACCCCGCAGGGGGAGCCCCCGGCCGCCGCCCAGGACGCGACCGGCCCGGACCTCGTGCCCACGCCCGAACCGCCCGAGGAGTACGCGTACCCGGACTACCGCGGCAAGGGCTGCGTGGACGAGAGCGGCTTCGTGTATGCCATCGGGGAGAAGTTCGCGCCGGGCCCCTCGGCCTGCCCGTGCCTGTGCACCGAGGAGGGGCCGCTGTGCGCGCAGCCCGAGTGCCCGCGGCTGCACCCCCGCTGCATCCACGTCGACACGAGCCAGTGCTGCCCGCAGTGCAAGGAGAGGAAGAACTACTGCGAATTCCGGGGCAAGACCTACCAGACTCTGGAGGAGTTCGTGGTAAGAGGCGAGCGCCCGCCGGGCCACTTTGCACCTCCCACCGCGGGGTGAAACCCCTCTGTGCACTATGCGCCCCTACTTTGAAGAAGAGGCGCGTTCTGGTTCTCAGAGGCGGACAGCGCTGTGCTCGCGTCCGCTCAGCACGATCTCCCTTTCAGTGCGGAGGTAATCTCTAAAGCAATGTGGCCGATCCATTCATTCCTTCGGTCTTCGGCTCTTCGCCTTAAAAGGGTACGGAGTGGGTGAGGCCCGAGGCCGGGAAGGGACAGCCCGAGCTCTTACTGGCTGTACCGTTAATGTTAATCCACGGCTCTTAATTTAAAAGTGTTGCCGCTGAAATGCTCAACCTGTTTTCAAACACAGGGTAATTTGCCGTGCCGTTTGGGATATATCCTTCAGCTAATGGCTAATTAAGGAAGACTAGTCATATAAATAAGCCATTTCCCTAGATTACTTGGTGGGGTATCATGCAAATGTTCTAAAAAATGAAAAGGCAAAGAAAATGCTTGCTCATTGGATGCCAACACACACTAGTGGAGGGCAAGAACAAGAAGCCTAGTTTATGGTTAAAAATTGTTTTGTTTTAGGTGAGGACTAGTAACGATATTAATAGTGCTGGCCATCCCCCGAATACCTACCGTGTGGCAGGCTTGAGGCTGCATTTTCCACGTGCATTACCTTAGTTAAACCTCATATCATGCCATGAGAGAGATTATTACTTATGATCGCCAGTTGATGGAAAAGAGGAAACGGAGGCACAGAATCTTTAAATAACCTGGTGAAGGCAAGGTAGCTGTTAAGCAGACTCCTGTGCCGGGCCAAGCGGGTTGTACTCCCCAGTGCCCACTTTCCCCCTACATTCTGTGTGAAACAAAAGCCCAGCCCCACTGGGGCACAGGTTTGGATGGAGATACTGGCCCCCCCCCCGCGTGTGCTGGCCCCTTGGGGAGCTCTGACAGCCCGGCCTCTCACTGGTGGCCTGGACAGAAATGCACAGCTCTCCATCCGGACCCCCCCACCCCCAGAAAGGAAGCTCAATCTATGGCCTGCTGGACATGGCCTTGCTTTTTGCTCATGGGAGGTTTCCTGGGCAGAAGGGGGCATCCTGGGGCCTGCAGCCCCCCAAGCTGAGTAGAGAAGGCACGAGTCCCCCAGAACCCAGCCTCTGAGATCTGCACATTCAGGATATGCCCAGGATGTGAGGGCACCGAATGAATTTCAGGAATAAGTTTTCAGGGTTGTAGAACTGGAAAGCCGGGAAGGACGGATCTGGAGATAAGGTACAAAGTATTGAAACAATGCTGGTATTTAGAGTCAGGGAACATGGGTGTCCCTGTTAGCCTTGCCATTAACCAGCTGCATGATAGCCACAAAGCGCCTGTCCCCTCTGGGGTTCTTTTTCCTCGTCTGCAAGCTAAGGGGCCAGCTAAGGCTTGTTGCAGTTTCCCAGCCTGATGGCCGGAGTGCATCTCCAGGCCCGCCTGGTTAGCACAGTTGTTCATTCCAGCCCTTTGGAGAAAGAAAGACAAATTTGTTGAGAAACCCTTATGAACCAGGCCCTGAACATACGCCATGAGTGAGGTAGGAACCCTGTCCTCAAAATGCTGACTAGTGGGAAACATCTGCCTCTCCAGGTGTTTCGGTGTGGAGGCAAAAGTCCTGGCAAAACCCAGAGGCGGGACCTTCCCTGTTGGCCTGGGGCAAGGCTGTAGGCATGGGCCCAACAAACTAAATCTCTTTGAGTTTTAGGCTCCAAAGAAAGTCTAGGAGTTGCGAGTACAAATGCAAGCCGTTAGGTTTTAACAAATCACGTTTATGGTTTACACCGTATGTAGTTTTATAGTCATTTCTTAAAAGAGTCTGGTGAAGTCGGCTGAGGAATTATTGCCGTTTTTATCTAAAAAGCCAGAACACATCACCAGGTGGCCGTTCATCGACCTGAGATGGCAGAGAGAAGGGAGAATTCAAACTTCTGTTTTCGTAACTCACCGCCAAGTGCGAGCTGCCAAGAAGCTGTCTTTGTGTGCAGGGATGGGGGAGCTGTTATCTGATTCCTGTTTTCAAAAACTGGTGGTCAGTAAGTAGACTGTGTTTCAGACTCCGGAGACGGCAGATGTTAGAGCAACAAACGGGAGATTGGAAGGATTATCATCCTGGGAAGAATTAAGATAGTAGTGAACCTATTTTTAGAGTATTAAGTACATCTTTCATCTTCAAGTGACACTTCATTTTTAACTTTCATCCAGTCCTGACCAGCTGCTAGGATGTACACGTGCATGAATGTTATCCAGCTGCTACAAATGTTTGATTATGTGCTTGCTCCCGTGATATGTGCAGCTTCGTAACGATTTCAGTGCCATACGTCGTACGTATCCAGCTCGTTCGTTTCTCTTACTGTCAGGAAAATTCTAGGCATTTCCCTAAGTCACTGTGGCTTTGTGCAAGTCATTTCGTGTCCGTGGTTTTGTTTCCTTCCCTGTCCGAGGAAGGATGCAGCACTTTGTTGCCGGTGTCAGAAGGATGACCTAGAAGGGCGGGCATACGGTCGGCGGGGAGCCCGGGGCCGGCGGGGCGGGGGTGGGGGGGCGGTGGCACGGTCTGTGGGTTGCAGTCATGCAGAATCCTGGTGCTGAGTGCCAGGGCACAACCAGTGTTCACCTGCCTGCTCGGACTCTTCTGGGCCTCCGAGAGAGAGCCACCAAATCTGTGGTTTGCATAGCACCGCGCATGGAGAATGGAACAGGAAAGCATTTGCTGTCTGAAGCGCTTTGCTCTTCTCTGAAGCAGATGTAATTGGTATGGAGGCTGTGGTCCAGTAGGGTCCTGCTTGGGATGCTGTTTACCATAGCAAGGAGGGAGGTGACAAGGAGGCCAGCTCTGGGCCTCCTTCCCTGGGAGGCACACAGACACTTAAACCATCTGCTCTCTGCCTCCCGAGAGAGGGGAAGCTCCCGCTGGAGGCTGGGTGCTCACTGTGGGCATCTGAGGAGCAGGCAGAACTGCAGATCCTGCCCCGGGCCTGGGATGTGCGTTTGGCCCCAGGGAGGGCTCAGCCTCTCCCCTTCCCTTCGTCCGGTGCTTCTCTTTCTTGGACACGTGGCTCCCTGCCCAGTTTTCACAGTCAATTCCGTCTTTTCCTTTTCCCCCGAGCTCCCGACCCCATGACAGCCCCCGTTCCTCAAGGCCTGGTTGATCTCAGCCAGATGTCAGCAGAAGACCTCACTCACGGCTTCCATAGAACCCCATGAGGCTGCTAGTAACAGAGTCCTGTCCGCATTTTTCTGGGGATATTTGCAACTTAATTTGTATATGCAAATAAAACCATAGTTCCTGGTAGAATTTTCTCCACTGCCTCTCAGATTATACCAAACATCCTGTTCATCACCTTAGACCAGCAGGTATCCAACTTTGAATAAGGAAACCTGTCTGTCGGTTTATATTTTTTATACCTGAATGGTGTTTTCATGTGCTGTCTGCTTCCTAGGGTCTATTCATTCACTAGGGTTGGCATAACAAAGTAACAGACCAGGCGGCTTAAACAATACAGATTTACTGATTCACAGTCCTCCAGGCTGGAAGTCCGAGATCAAGGTGTGGGCAGGGCTGGTTCCTTCTGAGGCCTCTCTCCTCCTCGTGCAGACGGCTGCCTCCTTCTCCCCATGTACTCGCTCACCAGGTCCTTCCTCTTCTTGTCTGTGTCTCATCTCCTCTTCTTATAAGGACGCATGTGTCCTCTTCATATCAGATGGGGGCCCACCTGTACGACCTCATTTTAACTTAATTTTCTCAGTTAAGACCCTGTCTCAAAACAGTCCCATTGGGGGGAACCGGGGGTTAGCACTCGAACAAGTGGATTTGGGAGGGGGGACATGACCCAGGCTGTAACGTAGCTCTAACAGGTGTCACAGGCCAGAGTTGACCTCATATGCATGAGCCCAAGGAGATACAAGGAATATGGGGTGGGGGTGGGGGAGGCTTCATCAACAAGTATGATTGAAGAAAGACTTTACAAAGCAGGCCCAGAGGGATTGGTGATAAACTCCATGCCTGAGAAGCAGAGTGAGGCAGCCCACCCAAACCACTCTGATGCTGTGTGTTTTCCATTCTGAGCGCTGCGTTAGGAACCATTATACTATGTTTGCCGATTGGAGCCGTGCATCGCATATAACCGGTGGGCGGCTCTCAGGGGCTCTGCGAAGCAGTTTCAAACTCGCCCCTGATGGCTACCAGGCAGGCCAGCAGCAACCCAAATTTGGAATTTACAATTTGAGCAGCAAAAGAGGTTGTTCCCCTCGTGGGGTCCTCCCGATCCCTTGGGGGACCATGAAGCTAGGAGTGGGGTCTGCAAGCTTGTTTCTGCGTTTTATAGAACCCAGTCAATTCATACGACTCTTTTGGCTGGTATGACACCAGTTCAGTCTGTCTGTGTGGCTCTCGTCGTGACCAGGAGCTCTGATTGGCGATGGTGTCGGTCTTTGAGGAAAAAGGGAAACTGAATTATTAATACATACTGGTCGCTCAACTGTCTTTCAAAGTGTGAAGACTGTGGAACCAGAAGCAGTTGGAGGGAGATCCACAGGTGAACCCAGGCTCTCCCAGGGCGTCAGTGTCTGACCCGTGATTAACCCTGCTGCCGAGTCTCATTTCCAGAAGCTTAGTAATGAAAACAATTCTTCCATGAAATTTGGAATGAAAACCTCCATCTAAGTAGATCTCTATTGTAGTTACCAAAAGATGCCAGCAGGGAGAAGGACATATTCATCATATTTTTCAGTTCCAGGGTATTTATGTTCTTTTGGCTAATGTCACTTAGCATAAAACAACACTATTATTATTATTTACCTTTGCCAAGAAAACTGACTCTAGCTGTGTAAAGCTAACGTTCTTAAGTCAGCCTGATGCTCGTGCTCAGAAGTTGCTACTTCTGAGTTTGTTTTGGTTCCAAGTCAGATTTTCTAAATTCTGGACTTCTCAGTTTCTGCCTTTCTGTCCAAAGCCAT